CATATTGCAGTGATAAGCATGGAGTCAGAAAAGTCCTTTGACAGATTCTTTGGTTATCTTGGAAATAGCTTTAACATGCTAAGAGTTAACTAATGTGTTTTCCTTTTCTAGCTGGAAATCTTGTGTTCAGTCAATATTCTACAGTTCATATTTATTGCACTCAGACTAGACGAGATCATCAGATGGCCATGGCTTGTATGTAACAAGTGTTTTCTTCTTATTCTTGTTTAAACGCTGACTTTCGTAAAGATATTTAGTCTAGTGAACACATTAATGTATGATCAGAGTCCATGACCACATTCTTGCTCGCTTAACTGAAGGTCTGGTATTTTATTCAGTGGTCACAGGAGAGGCTGTTCTTTGGGCATTTCTTCCTTCAGAGAGAGGGATGTGCCATCAGCTGCAATTAATCTCTGATCAGTTGGTGAAAGAGAAATCCTAACCAAAAATTTCCAGTAGCAGCACTAAACTAGTCATGAAAGTGATTGGTGAGTTAGGGAATATGTTGGCAAATATGGTGTGGTAAATAACTAGTTTTATTTGTTGTGTTACCATGCATGTAAATCCACTTATTGTGCAAGTGGCCACTGTCAACACTGCTGAGATCTCCTGTCCCAAGTGTCTCTAGAATACAAAAGCACTTTTTCTCTGAGTTTTTGTAAACTACCATAAAACTGATAATCTGGGGTTGTTATGACTGTCCTTTCCATTTTCAAAAAAAAAAAAAACTAGGAAAAGGATCTAATTTAAACTGTGCCAAGTAAGGTGTCCACTGTAGAAAATACTTGCTAAAATCAATTTCAAGTACTGTTTGAGCCCACGTAAAATCACAGAAGTCTTACTCTTCTTGTTTAGACTTAATATGTAGCCTTGCTTTATTTAAAAAACAGACACTGGAAACAAACTGATAAAAATGTATCACTATCAGGGGAAAAGCAGTTAATTTCTTTTTCTTTCAGGTTGTTTGTGTTCCACTGTGGATCTTGATGTCCTTTCTGTGTCTAGTAGTGCTCTATTACATTGTATGGTCTGTTCTGTTCTTGCGCTCTATGGATGTGATTGCTGAGCAAAGGAGGACGCACATCACAATGGCTGTCAGCTGGATGACAATTGTAGTTCCGCTACTCACATTTGAGGTAGGAAAAAGCATAACAAGTTCTATGCATCTTGTTCTTTTTTCGGTGAGTGATGAATGTTGCTGTGTCTCTTTTTGAACTTACTGAACTAAGAATACTGCTTTTTGTTCTGGAATAAAGTATTAACAGCAAATATGACAGAAACCCAAGAAGTCTATGTTTCTTTTAAAGTTTTTTGAGTAAAATGGGCATCACACTGGAACTGTAACTATATGTATCTATGGAGGCCATTTTTCTTCACAGATGCATGAAGTTAAAGATCTGAGATCAGCATGTTTGAAGATGCTTGAAAGTGGGTGTTGCAATTAAACTGACATATAATTTTTTTGCCATTTAGATCTTACTGGTACACAGACTGGATGGGCATAATTCTTTTTCTTTTATACCCATATTTGTTCCTCTCTGGCTTTCACTGATAACTTTAATGGCAACAACGTTTGGGCAAAAAGGAGGAAATCACTGTAAGTATTTAAAAATCATAGAAACAGCTTGAAACTCAAAGCTTAAATGTATTTTATTAAGATTTGTAATTTCAAAACTGGCTTTTTTGTGTGTATTCTCTCATAAAAGAACTTAGATGTGTCTGTTACTATTGCTTTTGGGTGATTTTTAGTAAGTTTTCAGTGTTTATAGTGTCTCTTGCTTTTTTCCTCATTCCTGTAAGAGCATAATTCTGCTCAGATTCAACTTGAAATCTCAATGGGATTTTAATTGTAACTTAGCCTTTTATCCTTCCTTATTTCCATGAGTTTCATTCTTACAGGATGTGACTGGATCGTTCTACTCTGCATTCTGGCAATAGTGTAGCACCTACCATTTTTAATTAGCATTTTTCCTAGTAGCCTGAACTAGTATTCTCTTTTTTCTTTGGCCAAATAGTGCTCTGTGCTGCTTAGTTGTAAGTTCAGTTGCTCAGGTGGCCAGTGTAGATTTACTAGGCTTTTATCCCCACCACAACTAGCACTGCTGAAAGGAGCGTTTGCACTTTCAGACATCTGATGTTGTTCACCAGTGCAGATGAGTGGCCCTTCCCATCCATACTGCAGTTTGTGTTCCTTGTGATGATTTTTTAGCATTGAAAGAAACAGCTGTGATGTTTGTTATATAAACTCACTTCACTTTCGGTCTGATGGTGAAGTATATTGAGAATTTTTTCCCATATATTCAGTTTACTTTTATATTGTTATTGCATAGAAAATTGTTACTGGTGATGTTTTTAAATGCATGCCCTTGATAATTTATGGCCAAATTAGTCTTTTGGAAAGCCATATGTCCATTTTATCTTCTTCAGGGTTAGTAAATATTCATGTCAATTTTTAAAAGAAGACTATTCATCTGAAGTGAGCCTTAAGATTTGCATGAAAATCTACCTTTACAGTGCTAAGCAAAATACACCGGTTTGTCATGAAGTATAATCTCTGGAAAAAAAAAAAAAATGGGTTATGTGGGATCTTCCCTGGCAAATGCTTAATATCTTGCTTTTGTTCAGTGTGAAAGATTTGACTTGGGCAGGCTGTTCCTTTTAACACTGACCTTTGGTATTGGCTAATAGAGGAGTGCCATCCGCTGAATTAGAAGTGCTTAAACGCTCTCTTTCCAAGTTTTTGCATATAGGAAAAGATATGACAAACACAGGATGTGTACTGTTTTCTAATCTAGCACAGGTAATATCCTGTCATCACATCACTTTTGTTGCTAGCCAAATATATTTGGGGAATACTGGATGCATATATTGACTAATCTGCGTCTGCCTATGCTATCCTATTCCCTCTGGTATTGTAACCTATATGTATCAAACAAAAGTTGGCATGAATGTCATCTCATGTGGCACTGATTGCTTTGATCGAGATGCAGAGTCTTTTGTGTTCTTTCTCGGTGTACTGATGTGACCTGACACCGCTTAACATGTGAAATGAAACGGATTCTTGCTGTGGTAGTACGGCTGTAGTTTATAGGTATGGATATACACACACAGACACGCATGTGCAAACATGGAGGGGTGTGCAAATGAATGTATATATTCTGTATGTATATCTGTGTGTATATAACCTGAACTATAATGTTGTTATATGATAGGTGCAAGTAACACCTGCTGAGAAGCACTAACAAATTTTATATTATTCATATGCAAACAATCAAGAGAACTTAAAGGAGATTGCATAGTCTGCTTGCTTAATTAAATTTTCATTCTGTTCTGCAATAATGTGAAATGACTTTTTTCTTTTAGGGTGGTTTGGAATTCGCAAAGACTTTTGCCAGTTCCTGCTTGAAATTTTCCCATTCTTACGAGAATATGGCAATATTTCTTATGATCTTCATCATGAAGATAATGAGGAAACAGAAGAAACACCACTGCCTGAACCACCAAAAATTGCACCAATGTTTCGAAAAAAGACTGGAGTGGTCATTACACAGAGTCCTGGAAAATATGTGATCCCACCTCCCAAGTTAAATATTGATATGCCAGATTAAGATGACAATAGCATATTAAACTTGAACTGGGAATCAGCAGACAAATGTATTTCATCTCATGCCTTGTCCCAATTACTTTAAAATAAGTATTGCTGAATCAGTGGCTTGGATTACACAAATCAGAGATCTTGAAGATAATCTGAGAGCTTTTTTTTCCAGAGATACGTGGTGGTCTAATTTGTGAACCTTCCTAACGGGTTGGTTGCACATTTGCCTGTATAGTATTTATATGAACATTTTAGCAGTGTAATATATTGTTTAAAAGTCTTGTCGTGTACAGTATAAGTATTATCTAAAAGTATTTTTTTAAAAACCCTGTATGAAATGCCTATGCTATTCCAGGTGTCTTTTAGGTCCTAAATATACACTTGATTTCCATGTCTGTTTTAAATGCTTTTTTTGGGATGCCTTAGTATAGTACCTTTTTACTTCCTTTTCTCTTCAGCCACAATCATTGTCTTAACCACAGAGGCACAGGACTGTTGTACTCCTCAGGCGAGACTGGAAAGCTTTTTTGGGAGGAAGTAGAATGTATAACAACTTACATGGTATTTTTGAGTTAGCTATGTAAATTTTCATGTAAGTATTTCAAGTTTTGCACTGCTTGGGAGTTAAGTGTTGCTTTTGTTGCTTTTCCAGTTTCATGTTTTAATTTCTCTTGAGCAGCATGTACACTGTTCTCCCATTAGACTGGCTGTTTAATAAGCTGTTCCCTCTTGCATTGCGTGTGCAGTCTATGCCAGAAACATTAGCTGCAGGTTTTACAGCTGTCGGTTAGCTGGTATAAATATCATAGCTTGGTCTTCGTTACCAACTTTGTAGAAATGTTGGTGTAAATGATTAAACTTTTCAAGATAGGAAGTCCTTGGTGTTGGCATAGCATTTTGTTGCTTGAAGAAAGACTTCCTTTGACAGATTGTCTTGGACTTCCAGGTGCTTTACAGAAATTTAGTCTGAGACCTACACTCTAGTAGCTTGTAACAACAGATGTCAGATACTCCCACATTCTTGCAGCTGTTCTTTGTGTTTAGGTGAACCCACAGTTTAGGTAGTTTAAATACCATGGATCATGTTTCCTTAGTGTTTGCATGGCAGTGAGATAAGAGCAAAGAGCATATGGACATTTCTGCATGCATGAAAGGTGCGCACTTGAAAAACTTCAGAGATGTGGTGCTTTCATTCCTAACGCTGCAGACCTCCCTCCTCTTCCCTGTCGACCAGCTACAGGCTGCAACCCAACACAGCACTGTCCTATCACTACACTTAAAATTTCATTGCAGTTTTATTTACATTTTTGGCTCTTGAGTTAATAATCTGTAAATGAAACGCAACAAGTGCCATCTAACACTTGCTGCTGCTGTTTCATGGCACTGGGAAACAGATGCTGCTCTGATGGCACAGCAGTGCAGCGTGGGTGGCATAGTGATGTTTGATAATTCTCCCTGTGGATTCTCAGTCAGTTGGTCACTTCCTTTCAACTGGCTGTATGGCAGGACAGTCTAGCTGCTAGGGTAGATGGCTTCAACTAAAAAATTTACTCAAACTGAGGAAAAAATTTAAAATGGAGCTTTCCTCATCGGAAACTTCATGTGATTCCATTCTGGCCAAGGGAGTTGATTCGTCAGGCTTGACTTCTCTCTATCTAGCCCGTGACTAAAGAGAAGCTGGTGACACTGCCTTTGGACATCCAAGAGGAGAAAAGTCTTTACAAACTTCAACTAAGCAACCCTGGTCAAAAAGAGCATCTGAATTCAGCTGAGGAGAGCTCTAGCAAAGGCAATGATGCCTCTACACGTCTCGGCTTTCTGAAGCAGCTCTGGGATGTTGTTGAAAGTGATCAGTTTGAGTCCATTCGGTGGGGGGACAATATAAAGTGTGTAGTGATTTATGAACAATTGTTCAAAGAGGAAGTACTAGTAAGGAGAGGACACCTGAAAAGTTTTGAAAGCGAGAGCATGAAAAGCTTCACTCATCACCTCCATCTGGACAGATTCACCAGAAAGCTTTGGGGTTTTCCAAAATCTGGCTCGCACAATGACTTGCTAGCAGAAGAAACAGCTAGAGACGTATGTTGGATCCTATGCAAATTAAGTCTCAGAATATTCTAGTGGTACAGATTTCTGTTCCAATGAAATAAGCCTTTCCTACATAGGAGATGAGGATAGTAGTAAACGTTCTCATTGTCAGCTGTTTCTCAGCTCACATTCAGGAGTTATTGAAGGCAGTATTTCTCAGTAGTAGAAATGCTGATAAAATATACGTTGGTTATTTCCAATTACTTTGAACACATAAAATGAAAAGATATTCTCACCACATTGGAATTTGTTTCTTGGTATTTGCTATGTGTCTTGCTGTACCAGAGGTGCAGTTTTCTTGTGGCATTTGCTGAAGGCTGAGAAGGTACGTGCCAGTATCATATAGTTACCTACAAGTTCATTCCACACTGAAGTTGCTGAAAAGGAATGGTATTCAGTGTGCATGCTTTTGAAAACCCTACACTACCAAGCAGCAAAAACACAAGGCTGATAACTACTTAACAGGACTGTATCACACCATTTTATTCAGCCTAAACTTCAGGTTTAGAATGCCCCCAGTAGTCCTTTTGAACATCCACATTTCTCTTGCAATTCAAATTCTTAGTTCTTATATCTTTATCTTTGTGGTTTCCAGTCTAAGGTGGAGGCAACTACCCTCAGCACAATAAAGACATGGACCAGTTGGAGTGAATCCAGAGGAGGGGCACGAAGATGATCAGAGGGCTGGAACACCTCTCCTATGACGACAGGCTGAGAGAGTTGGGGTTGTTCAGACTGGAGAAGGCTCCGGGGCAACCTTATAGTGCCCTTTCAGTACTTAAAGAGGGCCTACAGGGAAGATGGGGACAGACTTTTTAGCAGGGCCTATTGCAATAGAAGAAGGGGTAATGGCTTTAAACTAAAAGAGGGACGATTTAGACTAGATACAAGATAGAAATTCAAGGGTAGTAAAACACTGGCCCAGGTTGCCCAGATAGGTGGCAGATGTGCCATCCCTGGAAACATTAAAGGTCAGGTTGGATGGGGCTTTGGGCAACCTGATCTAGTTGAAGATGTCCCTGTTTATGGCAGGGGAAGTTGGGCTAGATGACCTTTAAAGGTCTCATCCAACCCAAACTATTCTATGATTCTACAAACTAATTCTTTTCCTTTGCATTTTTTAGTTTCACTTCTACTATGACCCCATTTTCTGCATCTGCTAATGAAATATAAACAAAGCTTTGGTCCAAAACATCAAACACCAGCAGGATTTTCACTGGACACAGATTTGCATGCATACCATCAGAAAAGAAAACCAGACATTGAGTTGTGTGGAAAACCACACTGAGGAGGACAGCGTGCATTGCGGAGGACAGCGGTCTGTTCCCAGCAGGTCCAAGGGAGAACATGCACACTGCCAAGTGACATACCAAGACAAGACTCTCCTAACTGTTCCAGTACACTATCTGAATACAAAGCCTCTGCCAGTTGTCCTGTCCTGTTTTTATAGCCGTGTCTGTGCCTGGCCTTGCACCTTGCTCCAAAAAGTCAAAAGGATTTTCACTGTAACACAGGGAGTGAATTTTGAAAAACTGTACAAGTGCAAAATTAGTGATTTCTATTTGTTACTCTTCACGCTTTTCTCTAATTCAGTGTTACATTTTTCAAAGCTTACTAGTATTTTTCATCTTAAATGAGAGCAAGAAATATGATTATACTCACTTAATTTAATTTTTTACAATCACCTTTGTAATAAAGGTCTTTCTACAAAGGCTGTCAGGTCACAGAGCTGTATGTTGCAGCCTGCTGGTCCTTTCTGGAAGCTTTACATTTACAGCACATAATGCACACCATGTGTAGAAACCTCATCCAGCAAATCTCCCTCTGTTGGAGAAGCCTCTAGGACTGGCCTTATCTCAGATTTCTTTCTCAATGTTCCCACAAATGTAAGGGTAGGAGTGGGCTGTGAGATAGTTGTCATATCACAGTCATAGAATATCAGATTGGAAGGGACCTCAAGGTCTCTTTCCCCAAAGCTGCTCCCCAGCTGGGTATATCCCAGCCTGTGCTGCAATCCTGGATTATGTTTTCCCAGGTATTAAACAGTGTTGGGCGTAGTAGTGATCTCACGCTTGTGAGAGCTTGCCATTTGAAAAAGAGCTATTTACCACCCCCCTCTGGGTGCGGCCAGTCAGCCACTTCCCCACCCACCACACAGACCGCTTGTCTAGACCATAACACATCAGTTTCTCTAGGAGGTGGCTGTGGGCAACAGTGTCAAAAGCCTTGGAGAAATCCAGGTAGACAATATCCACTGCTCACCCCACACCAACTGAGCAGGTTACTTGTAGAAGGCAATCAGGTTTGTCAAGCACAACTTGCCCTTGGTAAATCCATGCTGGCTTTTCCCAATCATGTGCTTCATTTGATTTGTGATAGCCCCCAGGGGGATTTGTTCCATAAATTTCCCAGGGACTGAAGTAAGAATGATGGACCAATAATTTCCTGGATCTTCCTTTAAGCCATTCTTGTAGATGGGGGCAATAGTAGCCTTCTTCCAGTCTTCTGGGACGTCCCCTGAGCTCCACAACTTCTCAAAGATTATGGAGAGTGGCGGCCAGCTCTCTTAACACCCTCAGGTGGATATTGTCAGGGCCCATCAGTTTGTAGGGCTCAAGCTCCTGTAATAGTTTGCATACCAACTCTTCCTTCGCTGGCTGTGGCTCTGTGTTTGCATCAACCTGGATTTTTGTTCCCAAAAGGCCTTGGGCCCAACAGCGCTGGTAAAGACAGAGGTGAAGAAAATGTTGAGAACCTCTGCCTCTTCAGCATCGTTGGTGACTAATTCACCTCTCCTGTTCAACAGCAGGCCAATATTTCCCTTGTGTTTCTGCTTTTTGTTTATGTACCTTGAAGAACTCTTTCTTGTAGTTTTTGACACCTCTGGCCAATTTTAATTGAAGCTGAGCTTTTGCTTTTCTAACTTCATCTCTGCACACCCTGGCAATGCAGAACATACTTCTCAACAGGTATTTGTCTGCTTTTCCAACTCTGGTACACTTCTCTTGGTTTTGAGCAGACTCAGAGCTCACTCTTAAGCCAAGGGGGTCTCTTGTTTCACCTGCTTCCCTTACCTTTAAGGTTAGGTTAGTTACCTTTGAGGTAAGGTTAGTAAATCATTAATAATTTCCAGTAATGGTAATAAAAATTACATCTTGTTTATTTTGCCTCAAAAGAGCAGTTCTTCAAATGTATTTGCTATTTCAAACAACTAGTTTTGGAAGGGAATTGTAAACAACTCACTGGTATTCAAGATGCTGACTTGTGAATGACAAGTTTGCATTTAGGCAGGAAAAATAATTGTGAGGGGCAGCATCTATGCTTCTGAAGGGATCAGTTCTTCAGGGATGTCCACCTGCCACACACCTCTTCCCCCTCTGGCAGGAATCGGTTCCAGGAGCCATCTTGGATTTGAAACAACAGTCAAGTATTTCTGTTCTAGATTACTGAGGACAGCTTTATTTTCCAGCTCCAGAATCTTTTCAGGAGGCAAGTTTTCTGGATATAGTGACGTCTCTCCGATGTCAATTAATCCTGTATTATAAAATTAAAATATAAAATTAGTTGGCTGTTTGATCTCCTAGAGAAAAGTTTTCCAAAGGTAAACTTCCCAGAGAACACACAGAACAGATAATTTGTTACCAGAAGAACACAGTATGAAGAACGCAGACCTCAAACCAGTGTCATTCTCTGCAGAAGATGGCCTATGGGACTGAACTTGGGTCAGTGAAGAACAGGTGAAGCATGCAGTTGTAATAGTCACAACGCAGTGATACAGAATTCTGTTCAAAGAAGCCTGCATCTAAGGAGATACAGTTGCTAACAAAACTCCCAAGCTACCTTTGGTCTTGAAGCAGCTTCATTAAAAATAAAACTCTGCTCTTATCAGGACACTATTCTACTAACATTTTAAAATCCTTAAAATATATGGAAATTCCTGCTCTCTGGAACTCTTTTAATATCACAAAAGGGAATTTCTATACCGCTTAATGATTAAAAATGTTAAAATAAAGATCAAAGAAGTTTTGATACCTACTCCACAATTTAGCATGCAATTTATGCCAATATTACAAATCTGCACATTACTTAGTACCTAACAATTTTCAGCACTGTAGAACTGGAAAAATTTTTCGGTGTATGTGATGGAAGTAATTTGTGGTGCAGGAATAGCTAAAAATATTCAAATGAGAATGCAAGACAGTGCAACAAAAGATACTTAGAAGAAAGGCGTGCAAAATGGGCACTGGATAAAAACTTTCTAAGTACATAGTACAGCAACATACATTGTATTTCAACACAACATAAGCAAAGAAACACCACTCTATTTTTTTTGTTAAAGAAACAAACTTCTTTACTGCCCAAAAAACAAGAGTGATGGAGCATTTGTAGAACTGAAATAGGATTTATTTCTGTAATACCCTAATGTAACATGCAAAGCACTGCAACATCATGGCTTGACTACAAGTATGGTAAAATGGTCTCAGCAAGAGTTCCTAAGCTCAAAATGCAGAAAGTGTGGAATTGACATTTATTATCATGCAACAAAATAACATGCAACCCACATTATACTACCTTAGTTCACGACAAGTTAGCACAGATCAATTTAATTTCTTGTACAGGCTATTAGACTTGTAGCCTAAAGTTTTTAGTAAAGCAAGTGTATTTTAAAAGCTGAGGCCTGACTAAAACTCTTTATCCTAAAGCTCAAAGATACTTCACATTTCCAACACAATGGAAAAGAATAAATTTTATTTACCACTGACCTCACTTTAGAGTGTTAAGGAATCAAAATACCCCCAGTCACAACTCTGGCACCACTCCTTCAAAGCAAGTCTTAAAACAACGTCAGAATAAGCATAACTATGTAGAGCAGACGTGTATTGGACTGAATGTTCACTGACTGAAAGCTTGCTTGGAAAATATAATCCAAGGTTGCTTACCTGCAATAACTCCTCTGCCAAATTTTTCCCCTTCATCCAACAAATCTTGCACTTGTTTTGGTGTCATACCGAACCTACTCAAAAGAATTGCTCTCCAGGTGTCATCTTCCCAGTCCTTAAGAGCTATGTGAACGGCGATGGTGCAGTTCTTGTAGCCCGCTAGCACAGGACGCCAGCGAGTCTCTACTGTTTTGACTTTGTTTAAAACCAATCCCGCATAGGGCTGTCGGAAGGAAAGGCAACCAAACTTCATCGTTTTCCTTGCATCTGAACCCGTTTATTTCCTATAAACAAACACACACACCGAGATTAGTCTTTACAACGTCTCTGTGGCCACGACAAACGCCCAGACCCGCCCGAGCAATGCCCGGACCGCCAGGCGCTGGGCTACCCCGGGCCGCCCGCCCGAGAGCTCGATGTC